TTTGATTGCAAATTTAATTATAAACAATATTTTATATAGTTTTTCATACTTTCTTCATATTTATGAGCCTTATATCACAAGCAAATATTTCCGTAAAAAGCCAAAACACATTTTACATAAATCACTTGTAACTGACAATATACAACACTTAAATGTATATAAAGCAAGTAAGCTTTTTAATTGAACCTCAAAGCTGTGATAATTGAAATGAATAAACTGCAAATTTGTACAATTTGCTCAAATATTATTGCATGAGTTCATGTGTAAGCCAGCACATTTCAAATATTTCATATTACTTGCAAATTATTTTCAAGTGTTGCGCTTGAAATGTTTCAACAGCAAGGATGCTAGCCGCAATCGAAGTGTTTCGGTGCCAGTGAATGATGGAGTTGAGGCTAAGTGTCAGTCAGTTGCACTCGTCAATACTTCGAGCCATGTGTGGGAGAGCCACTCCTTTTGGCCGCCAACCACACATTGTTTTGGCAGGTATCTTCCCACGCCCGAAACCCCTCAGAAAACTGAGCTGAAACGCTTCTGATTAAGCAACAATCAATTTATTTCATTACCCATCAGGTTAAGATGGCAAATTTGTTGATGATCCATGTTGTTTTACATGGGCAGGTGGGAAAATAAAATATTTGCGATTGCAATAAATTGGAGGGAAAGGGAAAATCGATTAACAAAGGCAAAGGACAAGTTTTTAATTGAATTCAAACAGTGTTTGAATGGCTCATTCGCAGGGATTAGGCAATTGAATTAGTTTTTGATTTAAATTTCTTGCATTTCAAGCTTAAAATGAATATTGAAATTGTGTTAAAGCTTTGGCTGCAATTCGATTAATAATCCTTTGCACATTATCCTCAATTGATAATAGAAATTGTGACAATCCATTTTAAGCAGACTTTACTGGCTGACCATCTGAGAAACGCAAACTATTTGGAGCTAATAGTAAATACTGAGTGGCTGAGTTAAGCCAAAGCCCATATTTCTCATTCAAGACGTTAGCTCCATTTAGTTATGCAACAAACGGCATTGAAAATGTATGAATCACTGGCATAAAATTTAGTGGGTATCTGCCATCTAATTCAACAATCAACAAAGCAACGGGATACTCACAAATACCAAGTCATCCGCCCACCCACACACACACATGAGCAGATAAATTCTGGGATTCCCCCTGCCATGCCAGGCAAATACATTTTGTATACGCACTCATTGTGGGTGTGTGAGTGTGTGTGTGGCTGAGTGTGTGTAACGGCAATCATTATTGAGGCAATGATGTGCATTTCATGAATTATACACGGCAAGATGATGCGTTGCGATGTCGAACATCTGCGTGTGTGTATCTGCGTGTTTGTGTGCGTGTGTTTGTGAGCATGTCCATTTCCTGCCCAAGGACTCGTCCTGCGCTATCCGGAACCACCTCCTCCTCCGATCCGTGCATGGTTGGTTGGGCAATGCGCCGAGGTAAGTAATAAACTTATTGGCCCCATGCCTGTCCATTGATTGTCCGTTTGCAATACACAATATGCCCGGGATGTGCCACATGGGGCGGCAAATATCAGGGATGGCCCAGCGTATTGGCCACTCATTTATGGAATAATCTAGTTAAAGTGCTTCTAGTTTGCTTGCTGCATTGCATTACATTGGGAATTGTTGGGAAGTAAATTGTAAGCTAATCTCTTTGCGCTATAAAAATAATTTCTTTCTGAAACCAAATCAAACTATAATTTTGCAAATCAGTTCTAAAACATTACCAGAATAGTTAAGTAGGCAACTGGTATTTAAGGATACTTCCGGATACTTTGTATAGTATAAATGATGAACAAAGGGAATGGAGATACACGAATATAATAAGTAAACAAAATTATTATTATTTTATTGCGCCATAAACTGCTGATTAAAAATATATAGTTTCAAACTTTCTAAGAGGGTTTCTGAAATAGAGTGCGAAAGAACTAACAGAAGTTGCGTTTCTATTGGATGTGTTCGTATCCCTTGGATTCCACTGCGTATTCTACTCCGAAATTTACTCTTTGCCTAAGCCAATTGTGCTTAAAATAAACCCATTAAACCGAAACCTAACTCGGCATTCCATTAAAACTTTGCTGAGTTTGACCATCTCTAGCAGGCGGATTGGCGTAAGGGAATTACGAGGACGGGAAGTGGGAGGCTTTCGAGCCATTCTGAGCCGCCCACTCAAATGTGGCCATATCATGACGAGCTGGCAATGCCAGCGGACGTTTCATCGTTAAATGTGGAACTGTTAAACAGATAATGACCAACCACACCACTCCACACCACTCCACACCGGTGCACGACCCACAAAGGACAGCACCACCCATTCAGAGCCCAATACCAATCCCAAAACCAATACCAAACCCACTGAACTGACCGACCGCAGAACAGCAAGGACTTTCGAGGCGCAGAGCTCAGTGGGCGGCTGGGCATGTGGACGTGAGCTGACCAGGAGGCCATTGTTATGCTCCCCGGCTTTCATAACTGTATCAATGGCGCTGACGATGACGATGATGCTCCTGCTCCTGCTCCTGCTCCTGCTCCACTTGCTCCAGCTGCTGTTCTTCCTGCCAACGATGATAAACCAATGATGATGATGATGATTTTGGGGCTGGTGCTGATGCTGGTGTTGTTATTATTCACCATTTGTTGTTGGCCTGCGGAAACCAGACAACTGTCGTGCTGAAATTCTGATGCATTGAAATATAATTATTGGGAAATGTGCGATTGTCGTTGGATTTCCGTTTACGTGCTCGCCATTTCGGTTTGGGGCTGTCCGATTATGCATGCATACGGATGCTGGAGTGTGGGAACAAGTGTAGGACATGATTGTTTGTCCTTGTAGATACGAGCACAGCTGGGTTCGCAATAATGGGTTGTGGAATATTGGGACTCATATTATGCAATAATCAGTCATTTCTGCTTTCAGCCAAAACTATATTAATGAATTGTGCAGCCCTACTTTATATATACTCACTATTCTCAAAGCAATTTATAAAGTCTTCTTATTTGATGGCAAAAGTGCAACCTACACTGTTTCACTTACATATTTGTATCGATTTGGGCCAAAGGACTTGATGCACACCCACCTGACATTACGCTCATCACACACACACACACACACGCACAACCCACAATCATAATTTATGCAAGCCCCATGACATAACAGTCGCCGGATTATTGCCATGCATTTGTAAACTTATGTATAGTTGCGAATTTCCGTATGCACATTCAATTACCATATTAACCGAAACGACTAATTAACTAAAGTTGTGTATGACTCGCAAGCCTGAATTGAAGCCTTTAATAAAGAGAATAAGAGACTGACTGTCGCTGAAAGGAGATTTTAAGACATAATATTGTATTTATTTATAATCCGCTTTTAAATGAACCCTCCACATAGTTCATTTGAACTTATTGATTTCACCACACACCTTGCGCGCGGAAAACAATCGGTATTCAACATTGTATTCGTTTGGTTTGCGTCTGCGATAAAAGTCACCACTTTTTTGAACTGCGCTTAGATCGTTTTAACTAAATAAATTAAGAAAATGTTTTAATTTAATAAGAAACCAATAAATAATAAACAAATATGTATGTTGCATACATTTTTGCATGTATATATATATATTTGGTGTATGGCTAAAAGATGCGCAAATTTGAGAGAAAGTGCTGTAAAGTGTGCAAACAAAAAGCCCGCCATAATTTAAAAGCATCTTACAAACTTTGGCTAATAGTGAGTTCTTAAATTATTTTCTTTTTGACACGCGATGCTTGTATTTAGGAAAGATGTTTTTAAGTCGTATGTATATCAACTCAGTTAAAACACTTATTTATACATTGCATATTTTATTTGATTATTTTGTTGTGATAAATAAATCTCTGTTTTAAATTTTATTATATGCTTTAAAGTAAATGTACGCCAAACCATCTTTACTTATTTTTGACATCAAAATTCTAGCATGACATCCATTTGAACAAAGTCAAAAATCTCGCTTGCTAAAAATAAATCTGTGCAAGAATTATTTACAGCCATTAGGTGTTGGTCCCAACAGATTCCGATTGGGAATTTCCGAAGGCATACAAATGCTCAGAGAAAAACTCTTGAAATGTATGTAAATGGTAGCCATCTCTCCCTAACCGGTTTGCTTATTCCCAATGTTTTGTGCTTGATAAGGGCAAAAGAACTTGATTGTTCTTCAGTTGTGAAAGTCCTCATTGAATTGCCTTCTCTCACTCGATGACTAATTTTAATCAGAGGAAACGTGAATATTCCCCGTGACATTTATTGCTATGGGCTCATTTGGGCTTTTTCCAAGAACTCGCGTTTTTTAAAACGGTGGCAAAAAGAGCAGCACATCTGTCTACATAGTCTATATATTAGTGCTCTGGGTTATCGCGCTGAGTGGAATGACGTAGAAGCATTAATTGCAAGCCGAATGCATTTTAATGCGAACGAGGAACTTGGCGTGCTGCACTGCGGAAATAATTGACCAACAGAAAGAGAGGGGCATATCACAGTAGAAAGAGAGTAAGCTGTGGGGGAAAAAGAGATAGAGAAGGTTTAGCTTCAAACAGCTCGTTCATACAGTTAGAAAAATAAAAATGTAACCAAATATTTACTTGGTTTTAAAGATTTAAGAATTATATATTATATCACTTTAAGATATAGATGGCATTTTTCTTCTTTTACATGTCTTGTTTGATAATTTGAGTATGATTGGAATTTACATAAATGCTATCAAAATATTCATAAAGATTTTGAAAGTACTTATATGATTATATAATTATAATTAATTTTTAAGCTGCAAAATAAAAAACCCAAAAAAGGTTAATTTAATGAATGAACCACAGTAATTACAGCAAAGCACTTTCCATCTTTCTGTGTACAAACATATGTATGTATACCAACTCCTATTGTGCTCAGAAATCTTCAACAAAAAACTTGTAACTCTGTAGAACGAGAACGTGAATTCCCCAATGGGGAATTGTTTGGGAAAACGTAGCGCTGGCGACCAACCGGCCAAACAAGTGGACCCGAGAGACTATTCGCAATATCAGCGGCCAGTTGTCTGAGAAATAGCGTGCTGAGCAGTCGCAAATCGCGCACGAGTTTTAAACGCAAGCCGAAAAAGAGGAATAAAAAGCAGCAGATTTGCACGAGAAGATCTACAAGATAAAGAGCTACTGCATAAAAATAAACAAAGATATTCTTAAAGCAACTTGGCATTGCATTCCCGATTTATAATTGCCCAAAGCCATATTAATTGCAATTAATTAGTTGTAAAATGAGCAACCTAGAGCAAATTGCACTGGAAATGGATAAAGTGAAACTAGAAGATACAACTTTGGCGAGAAATACGGTGAGTTAATGTTTCATTATCATTAAGCTGGCGAAGGTAAACAAATTCCTATAAACCGGTGTCTCATTTACTCTACGGATATATCGTTAAAATGCCTATTCACTTGTTCAAAAAAATGATATATATATAGTCTCCGTACAGCTTGTTAATTTTTGCGTAAACAAGCGAGAGCTTCACAAACAACAATTTTTCGGGAAAAGTCACTGCTGAAGGGTAAATAGCCTATGACTTAGTCGATTGATAAAACTACATTTTTTTATGAAATAAGATTATTGAACTCGTATTAAATTTCAGAGCAATGAATATTTTCACTTCCTTAAAGTTACTAATTTTAAAAACAAACAATCTGAGCTGGTATAGCGTGATGTTTCATTCATCCAATTTTTTTGGACAAAGATAGGTGTTTTTTTTCTGACTGCAGGGAAAATCATTTTCTGTGACTCATATACTGCAGACTTGAGAAATCATTTGAAATGGCTGTCTTTTCCTAATCACCGAAATTACCCGTCGTACTTTTATTTTGTATTTGTATTATCACTTAAAATAATATTTATTTAAACTTCTTAGTTTAATTATTTAGAAAAATACATACTTTTTCAAAGCCTTTGTGTCAATGAATGTTATCAGTATCATGAACATACATATAGCTACTATATATTCCTACAGATAAAGGCTTCTTACCATATAGTTGCATTGATCAAAACTTCCACATTAATCATGTGCTGTTTGGATAAATGAATTTGCATTTTGAGACAATGGATTCGAAAGCAAAGTTGTTAATATTCCGGAAACTTTTTTTCAATTTTTACAGGAAAATCTGAATAATAACATCGACGGACGGACACGAAATAATCTGCGAGTGACCAGATCAGGTTCGTATGGCAACTTACTCGTTTATATCTGAAAACAACACAAAACTAGAACCGTTTACTCTGCTTGTCTATATGTTAATTGTACTTGTGACTAATGCTGCTTAAAACCGCGATCTTTAAACACTTTGCGTAAACCACAATTATTGTGTAAGTAGCATAAGCAGGTGGTGATCAATTTCAATTGACAGCATTATTACGCCTTTTTTGTAGTTCCCGAAACCGACGATGATGACAACGATGATCGTCCCTTTGTTAAAGACGGCGGTGACAATCCCGGCGTGGATGATGGTCTTTTTACACCAGTTGGAGGCAACGACGGCAATGGTAATGTGAATATCAACGTTCCCAATGGAGGAAGACGACCCAGTTACTCATTTCCGGGATACAATGGACCTGGTTTTGTGACGATCAACGGAGTGGAGACACCCATACCCGATGTGAATGCGTATCAGCACAAGAAAACCCTGGCGCAGGGTATGATGGACTTGGCACTCCTTTCAGCGAATGCAAATCAGTTGCGCTATGTTCTGGAGACGCGTTCCGAGCATCGCTACTTTTATCCCAGTTTGCTTTTCATCTCACTCAGCATTATCTTCCAGGTAAATTCACTTATTAAGTTAATCAAGTTATATTCGTAAAATCAAGTTTAAGTTTTAAATAGTATTTGGAAAGTCAATTGAATTCCTTAGATGCATAGCAACCACTTAGTTTGATTAGTTTACGTTAACCAGACTTCACTGTTTTGATCGATGCCCATATTTTTGATGACACACTCAATTTCTGAATTTCTTTTCCATCTCAGGTGGCTGTGGGCGTGGGCCTGATATTGAATGGCCAGTACAACATCAAGAAAGGGTACGATATCTGCCGGGCGAACAGGATCAACAATTATACAGTCATCGGCATCTTTATAGTCACGGTGGTCAATGTTCTGATATCGGCCTTCACCGTGGCAGAACCAGATGCTGGAGCCAACACCTCGTAGTTTAGTTTTTATTTAAAGTTGATTTCGTAGTATTATGAGCAAATCGCATCGTTAGATAATACTCACATTGTTCAGTCCTTGTTAAAATGCACTCATCGCCTCATTTTTCTATATGCTAAATTAAATTGTGATAAATAAAATCCCACGAGCATTTCTCAGCTTATTCAAATCGCTGAAATGTGGCTTTTCTCACTTTTTAAATTTCATAAACCAATACTTTTATAATTTTATATTATAATATTTACAAATCAGTTATTCAGACATACATTTCATAAGCAATTAAATTTATAATATTAAATCAATAAATCCTTATATCATTTATTATTATCAAATAAAATCCGATACTATTTTTACAATTTAAATGAATTTTTGCCGCCAAACTATCGCTTAGCTGCGATAGTTTACGAAGTAGATTTCACAGCACTGTGTCATACCTTCGATACTTTGGAGCACTGAGCAACAGCTGTTACAAAATAAAGTCGTGCGGAAAATTCAGCATTTTCGGCTAAAAGTCTATTCCAAACATGGCCAAGATCATTAAGGCGGTAGGTTTAACGAACTGGAGTGTAACAGCAAGCAGCGGAAACTGCGCAGGGAAATGGCCAAGTTGTACCCGCTCGAGTTTCCTGGCGCTGTTATTGTGGCCAATTGTTATTGTTATGTCATCGCTACCTTCTGCAGTCCACAGGTTTGACCGGCCTGGCCGTGTCCACCAATCCCCACCACACGCTGTGCGCTCTCTACGGCAAGATCCTTCGGGCGGTTTCCAAGATGCCACAGGATGCCAGCTACCGCAAGTACACGGAGCAACTGGTCAAGCAGCGCGCCAATTCCGTGGCCCAAGTAAGATTACTTCGGCAACTTGGCTTATTTTGGCTGCCCAAGTGGAGTGTTCCTCCATATGCACCACCTCTCAAAACCAGGAAGCCAAGACAGATCCCTGCAATTGTTATTTGGTGTTGAGATTGTTGTCTTCTTGTTCATCCTGCAACTTTTAGTAGAAGTTATTCTCACAAACTTATTTTGATTTAACGAAGTTGAGATCGTTTTGTATAAAAACGTTTCTTACGTGTATCATAAGATATTATTTACAACTTTATCTTGGTTATTCCGAATTTCTAACATATGTACAAAGCCTTACACCAAGAAACAATTGACAGCTTTTGAATTCCCAATCTAATTTTTGATCATTTTTGCGCAGCACAAGGACATCACTGCGCTGGAGAAGGCCGTCGGCTGCGGTCAAGTGGAGGAGCTGATTGTCCAGGCCGAGAACGAGCTGATCCTGGCCCGCAAAATGCTCGGCTGGAAGCCGTGGGAGAAGTTGGTCCAAGCCGCGCCCGCCAAGCAGTGGGACTGGCCACCAGCCCAGATCATGGAGCCCAAGGTTTAGACCGCCTCAAGATTCACACTTAGTACTAATTAATCTACAGCAAATCGAAATGAGAAGAGAGCAATAAATCCGCTGATAAGCAGCTCGACTTATCAGCTATAAAATTATGAAGCTTTGAAATCTCGTCTGTGAGAGTGTTCCAACTTTTGATTTTACGCTTCGTGTTCAATATATTGGAAGTTTAGGTAGATAAAACTAGGATAAACATGTGTTTAATCAACCCATCCTAGACTTTGCAAGGATTACTTCTATAAAACAGCATAAAACGAGTGAGATAATAACTAAAGCTGGAACATCGCCACAAGTTCAGCTCTCAGTTAAAGCATATTCCAGTCATCGCTCCACCGACGTTTGCGATCTCAGTTCGTTTTCAACATGCGTGCGCTTCAGTACCTCCTGCTACTGCTCGTCATCTCCGTCGGTTTGGCGGCATCGGTGCCGCGCCAGCGTCGTCAGATCGATCTCACGGTTTCGGCGGAGCACGACGACAAAGACGACGAGACGGAACTGGCCCTGGAGGCCATCGCCGGTCTGTGGAGCAGTGCAGACAGCAGGACGAAGATCGATGGGTCCGCCCGCCTGGTGCATCGCACACAGGGAACGCAATCGGGTACGGGCAGCACCAGATACCAGGCAAAACTGCATTTGCACCATGACTATAAGACCAATGCGTATCCCTCGTAATCCAAGGTTCCCAGCAGGACTTTCGCGTGGGAGTGCGCATTACATTCGACAAATAGAGCGCGGAGTTCCAGACATCGGCAGTCGGGGGCAAAATCGAGTGATTGCGTGAGGAAACGGCCATTGTATAGTGAATCCCACTGACGATAGATAACATTTTGACCTTCGCAGGCTTGGCTTTGTAGAAAATATATAGAACCTTCGTGAAAATACAATATACCCGCATACTGTTCGCTTTATTGATTCCACTTTAATCGCCTTCTCCGGTTTTCTCGACCGTGAAGCGGCGCAACAACTTTCAGCTTAAGATTACAACTAGAACAACGAATTTGCACAACAGTGAGGTGGACAGGAGGAGAATAATAAATACAAGCCATTTCTTAAGTATAAATGCCATTAGTCAACGTTGGTTTTCAGGGTGGGTGCCTCAGGAATCGGGGTCACGGAAAGTAATCTATGGTGTACATTTAATGGAAACTTTGGGTCAAGTTCGCTGCGCTAACTGGTTCACGTTTGGCGGTGTTTCTTGCAATTGTTTACTAATATTCTGCTGCTGAGAAAGTATTTCACTTCTCCATTAGCTTATTAAAACGATTGATTTAAAATATAAGCAAGTTTGTCCTAGAATTCAAAAATAGTCTGTTTCTACATACAACTAAAATGTTGATATTGCTCTTATATACGTGATGATTATTGGTTAAGAGTATTATTTTCTGTTTCATTTAAGAAGACGAATATTCTCATTTCATTTATGAAGACGAATATTCTCTATTTCATTTAAGAAGACGAATATTCTCTTTTTTATTTAAGAAGACGAATATTCTCTATTTCATTTAAGAAGACTAATATTCTCTATTTCATTTAAGAAGACGATATTCTCTATTTCATTTAAGAAGACGAAGAATGTGAAGTTTGCTATTCTGTATCTTCTGAGTATCTTATAGCCTAATCTTTACAATAAATATAAAGAGTACCTGGTTTTCCTATAGGTTTGCAGCTTATCCACAACGACCTGCAGTTTCCAATGACCAGCATTCCATAAGTTACTTTCCCTGACGACGATCAGTCACAAACCACCCGTATTGAGGTTAATATCATTGCACCAGCATACGCAAGATGCTTGGCCTTACTTCAGGCTAACTGATACTCCCTGCTTCTCCTGCTCCTTGAGCTCCTGGACGACAAAGTTGCGGAACTCCTCGTAGGCCACATCGATGTCCACGTTGTTGATGATCTTGTGAAAGTTGCCCGGCGTCAGGCCATAGTCGAGTTCCACCTGGGCGGCATTGAGCCGCTTGGCCAGCGACTCCTCCGTTTCGGAGCCACGCTGGCGTAGTCGCCGTTCCAGCTCCTTGATGCTCGGCGGATTGTTGAAGATCAGTATGGGATGGAGATCCGTGCGACGTATCTGCTCCACACCCTTCTGTTCGATGTCCAGTATGCAGACTCGCCCCTGCGCCTGTATCTCCCTAACCGCCGCCTTGCTCGTGCCATACAGATTGCCCGTAAACTCGGCCGTCTCGATGAACTCGTCGCCGGCGATGGCTGCCTCCATTTCCGGCCGTTCCACAAAGTAGTAGTGCACCCCGTGCTCCTCGCCCTCGCGTGGCTTCCGCGTGGTGTGCGATATGCTGAAGCCAAAGGTGTTGGGGAATTCGGCGAACAGCCTTTTTAGCAGTGTACTTTTCCCGGAGCCCGAGGGTCCGCATAAGACGAGGGGGCGTGGTCCGGGGGCGCTCATCTTGTTCTTGCTTCTTGTTAAGGACGCCGCACTGCTGCTAACGCTGCTGCTGCTGCTGAGCGCCCGATTTACAATGAACAGAAAGCTTATCATCGCGTGGCCTTTTATTCGTACAGAACAGCACCAACAACACAAATGGGTCCCAAAAAAAAACTGGTTTTGTTCTTTTTCTATTCGGCTTTAGCTAAATTAAGAGAAGTGTGTGGGTGTGTGTGTGTGCGCCAGCGATGGCCGAAACTCGACTAATATCGATAGGCCGTGAGGTGCGATAGTTGCGAATATGGTCGCCCCTAGTTTCAAAATTTGCATGAATATGTTAATTTTAAATTAAATTAAATGCAACGAGTAAACAAATTTGAAAACTAAAGAAAGTCTCATTTAACATTTACAAATTTTAGTTAATTTAATCTTTAAAAGAAACTACTAAATGAAATGTTTGTTGAAATTGTTGGAAAATAAAACTATTTAAAAATCAAGCTTCCCAATGAAACAGCAGTCGCTTTTGGTTTAAAAACTGTTATATTCTTATACTGTTTTACATTTAGCATAGAATTTCAAACACACATACACACTGAAACTGATGCCGACTGAATTACAATGCATTTGTAGTTAATTTTATTTTACTTTTTATTTGTATTTAGCTTACAATAATTGTGAATTTCTCGTTTGCTTGTTTCCGTTGAATTCTTTTCTCATTATTCTCATTTTCTTACGTTTCTGTAATTTCATATTTTTTGATCACATTTTGATTTCGCATGCCCAAAGTGAATTTGGTTTGTGTTCCGAATGATTCGCCTGAATGTAAACCTACTTTACTGCCGTCCGATAAATCAAATATATATATAATATATATATATTACTTTACCTCGTATGTTTAGGGATTTATGCAAGCCTCTGCTTCTGCTAGATTCCTACTAATCTGTGTATATGCTAATATTCAGTCAATATTATATTCATATCTTCAATGGAGGATCGAAAACCTGAAGTTCTGTTCGGTTCTAATGGGAAGGGTATATAAATTTCGGTTTACCGAAGATGAATACCTCATCTGTCACATATATGTACAAATTATCATTTAAATTTTAGCTTTAAATTTTCGATGTTTCTCTTGTTTCTGTTTTTGTTTTTTTTTTTTTGCATTTGCAGTGGAACAAAATCAAACAGTCCTAGGACGATCTTGGTATCATATGGTATAGGGTATATGGTTTATATGGTATATGGTTGCTGGATCCCTCGCGGTCTCAACTAAATAACAGTACTAACTTCGTATCGGAGCTGTAACATGGATAAGGCATGTGGAGGATTTGAAATCGGAAATGGTGATGAAACGTAGATTTAGTTATGGTGTTTTGTTTGTGGCTGGCAATGCAAGAATTGGTTTAATTGTTTTCTGTAATTTATTATACCCTAAAAATTTGTTTACAACTAATACTATGCATATGCTTAAAATTGATTAAAAAATATAATATTTATATTTATAGATTTATTCACGATGCTAATAACTAAACGAATTGTACGACAAAATTGTTGAATAAGACCAAAAAAGGGAGCCATGCAGTTTCAGCAATCCCAAAAAAGGTTAACAATTACAAAAAGGTGTGACGAGGGACTTTTTCTTTTCTTCTTTTTTTTTTGGGTGGGTTGGGGTTGGGCGAATGGTGTGTGTATGTGGGTGTGTGTGTGTGCCCCTAGAAAAACGGGGCAATCTTCTTACTGGCTAGGATTCAATATTATTCATATTTAATATTCAATTACTAGGAGCGTAAGAGTTTGCATTCATTTATCGGCTGCTATATTCTGGCTGGCAAATTAATTCAAATATGTAATGCAGTGGTTAACAAAAAGGGAAACTACTAACAATTATGTTTAGATCGGCTCTGTTTCTTCGTTCTTTCGTTTTGTATAATTATTTAATTATAATTATTGTTTACAAGTAGCATAATTAATAATTACGTGTATATTTGATGTTGGTTTCTTATAAATTGTTTTTTTTTCTTGCTTTTGTTTCTTGCGTTTTGTTAAAATTATAAAATTACCTAATCAAGAAAACCATATTAATAATAATAATAGTTGTTACTGCTGCTGCTGCTGTTCTGTTTGTTTTACGTTTCTGTCAATTGTAATCTACGGTTGGTGGAGGCCTTTTAGGCCTTCCAGTTGTTCTGCCGACTGCCGCTGGCTCCACTTTGCTGCTGGGGCGGAATCATCTCCAGTAAATATTGGCGCTGCAGCTCCGCCGCCCGCTGAACGTCCGCCATGCTGTTGGAGCTGCTCGAGTTCTTCGCCGATCCGGATGACGAGCTGCTCTTCTTGTTGTTATTGTTGAAGGCTAGCGGAATAGAATGGGAAAGTGCATTACATTAGTAAGCAATGGGTAGTGTTGATTCGCATGCTATTGGAGATCCACCGACTGACTGAGGCGCATTTCTGGTAGCCAGTTATGAATTTTCCTGCCAACGTCATTGACATCTCACCTGCCACTTGTGCCGCCTGCGCCATGGCCATTTGGTAAGAGTAGAGAAGCGGAGCAAACTGCATCATATGCTGCGGATTGCCACCAAGTCCTTGTCCCAGAGCTGAAAGAGAGTTTATACAAATAAGTAAAATGGCACTTCAAATTGACATCTAGCAAAACGCACCTCTAAAGAGCTGCTGCTGGAACGCCTGCATGGCGGCCGCCGTGGCAGCTGGCGAGGAACCGCTCAGCCCTGCCGCCGGATTGGCCGAGCCCGTCGATGCTCCTCCAAAGTTACCCAATCCCCCCAGCGCAGCCAGATTGCCCAGCTGGCTGAGGTTGCCCAGATTGCCAAGGTTGCCCAGACTGGCCAAGCTATTGATATTCAAGCCACCCATGCCGCCAAGGGCACTGAGATGAGCAGCCGCCGCCAGCGTGGCCGCCGAGTATTTATCGTAGTTTTGGGCCTGCTGTTGCGACTGCTGATCCCGCTGCTGATCTCTGTCTCGCTGATCGCGCTGCTGTTGCTGCTGCGACTGATGGTGATGATCGAGTCGATCGTTGCGGGAGGATCTAGAGGATGTAGTCGGCTCATGGTGATGCGCTGGTGACGGCCCAGGACTTAGGATACCCGCCTGCTGAGCGGCAATAGCTGCTGCAGCGGCGGTGGCAGCCGCTCGCGAGGATCGCGATCCTCCAGACGACGGCGGTGGTGTGGCTTGACTTTGTGGTGGCGGCGGCGTTGGACGCGGCGTCGCTGGTGTCGGCGTCTGGCATTTGGTGGGTATCACCGTCACTGACGGCGGCAGATTGACCAGTGCGGCGGCCGCCGATGCATGCGACGCCTGCAGCTGTTCCCGCTCCCTCTGCAGATGCGACGATGAGGAATTGCTAGACACCGCGGAGACGGACAGCGAGTTGCCACCGCCACTCGATCCATGGTTGTCCACCGGCGAGGGACTGCTCTGGCTGGCCAAACGCTGTTCGATCTCCTGCTCCTGCTGCAGCGCCTTAACGAAGGCCTGTTTCAGTCGGTTGGTGTGCTCCGCCTTGAGAGCCTTCTTCACATTCGAGGTGACGCACTGCTCGCAAATCACCTTGGGATCTTTGTTGGCTGCAAGTAAATGGTGTCATTAGATTGCTTATCGCAATTATTAAAATATTTGCACACTTACTCTGTTTCTCCCACTTCCACACGGGCGTAAAATCAATCTTGCACTGGGCGCAACGGAATGGAGCTGCCACAGCATTGGCCTTCTTATTGACGGTCAGATAATCCACAACGGTTTCCAATCCAAGAAGGTACACAAAGTCCGTGTTGCTGGGATTGGGAATGAAGTGCATCTCTGGCGGCGGTGGCTTTGGTGGGGGAATCTGTCATAGATAAACCAGTATAAAACCAAAATATCTCAATTTTCCTAAGCCTTTTTGCACTCACCTGAAGCAGCGTCTTTTCCAGCTGCTTGCGAAGGGCCATTTTAGCAGCCGCCTGTCTTTGAGCAGGTGTCTGTGCATCTTCTCTTGGCGTGGACCGATCATTCTGCCAAGAAATAAGTTTATTAATCTATCCGTGAATGGGATTATGGTTGTCAGAAGGACTAACCTTCTGGTCGTTGTGCAGATTCTGATGCGATTGGGACAGTGGTAGCGCCGGCGTGATGGAAACAGAATTGCTTATGGTCCCAGGTACCTTCGAATTATCCGAAATATTAGGCTGCATGTTTCAACGATTTGGTTGGGTTGGGTTTTGGTTTGGTTTGGTTGTTATTTTTACAGGATAGCAAATACGAATACAGAGCAAAAGTTGAATTTTTAGTAGTCGGGTGATTAGTTTGATGCGAGAAATGAAAGAATCTTTAGTGCCACTTGCACGAAGTCTCCTCGGTTTTTGGAAAATCCTCATACAGAGGCCGACTTCGGCTGATTTGACAGGTGAGTAGTGTTGGGCAGCAGTGTTTGCAGTGTTGTAAGCTTGTCTGTGTTGCTCAGTGTTGGGCAGCTGGTTTTTGTAATAGTTACATTTTGAAATTCAGAAATATTTTGAGATATAGAAATATCTATTTGACTATTCTTTGAGGGAAATTAAAAAATGTTCTGTGGAATACTTTGTAACAAATTAATGTTGCTATGAAATGGTTTCCAACAATTTCCTAATTTTAGGAATCATTTTCCAATTTTAACTATTAATAATAAATATTTTCATATATAATAAATTTTCTGTACGCTCTGCGCTGAATATGACAAAAATGCATTAATTTTAGGTGTATATTTATGACTAGGATCTTTTTCGGAAGTATTTTTTAAATCAAACTATATTGTAAAGAGAATTTTTAAATACTTAGGGCTGCTTTAATGTTAGTTTGTTAGTATAAAATGTGTTTTGTATTGGTAAGCGTGAGTTTTTGTGTTCCTCAAGTGTTTGGAATACATGTTTGTCTGCATAGAATGTTTCATTGCTTGGTGCTTTGTGGACAGTGAATGTGCAGTGTCTTTGGTGCTTTTGGGCAAAAGGTGAGAGAAAAACTCGGCGCTTACGGCAACGATTACATTACAATAACTCACATTGCGTGGTTTCAGACTGGAGGGCGGTGCCGATGTGGGCGTGATGGTCACCGATGGCGTGATGGTGAGATTCGGCAGGTTGGTGCGCGGCGGCAAATTGCTCGAGCGGTGCGATGAGGAGGTGGCGGGCGTGATGGTGGTGCCGGCGGCCAAGGTGGCTCCAGCGGGCAGCGATGATCGTGGCGGCGGCAGTATGGAGTTGCTGCCGCTGCGATGTTGGCCGCTCAAGGTGGCCGCTGCAGCTGC